GCAGGTCAGAATAACCTTTCACCCTAAGCTCCTGAGCATCTCCCTGTCCGTGTCATTATCGGCAGGGCTGCAGGATGCCAGGCTAATTGCCGTGCCTTTCAGGCAGCGGCGGTGCCAGGGATCGAACTGCTGTCCCCAGGGAGCAGCAGCAGAGCAGCACAGCCCTTTCTTAGCAGAATTTCTCCATTTCCTTGGCTTCAAACCGTGCCTCTGTTCTACCCTCTCTCCGCTGAGGCTCCAGCCGTGACTTCTAGGGAAGCCCAGCTGCCTCAGCAGGTCCAGGCTCGTTAATGAGCAATTAGCTCCTAGCCTAATTGGGCAGCAGAATGGCTAATGAGCCCAGCCACGGTTGTCTGTGCCCTCATTATCCTGCGCTCAGCCAGTGGTAACACTGAACCTCTGTCCCATTTCCGTCATGCCACGATCAGAGCAGTGCCTGCAAGCTCAGACGTGCCGGGCGCTCGCTGCTCTGGGTGTCTTTGCTGCTTCCTGCTGCAGTCCTGGAGCAGCTCCTCACCACCACCCTCCCCTCCCAGCCCCTGCTCCTCCTCTCACACCTCTTTTGGTGTATTTCTATTTGCACTAAACGCACATTAAGTATTTGTGTCAGTACAGGTGGACACATGCACGCCTACCGGTGACAACGAACTCCTGCCTGAGGAACACGAGTGCTCAGCACAGCCACAGTGCAATGCACAACACACCGTGCCCTGCTCCAGCACATGCCACAGCAAGGAGGGCCACCACCTTCCCCAGCAGCCAGGGTTCGGACAACCCAACTCACACCATCGCGCCGCCTGCTGCTGCGCTGAACCGCTCTCCTTCTGGCATTGATGATTCCATCTTCCTGCTGCTCTTGATAAGGCTTTCCACGGCTGCTGATGGTTTTAAACGGGGCCCCTTCTGCCTCCAGGGCACCTTTTTATATTAGATTATCTCAACACATCACGCCCACTTTTTAGTCGCTTCGCTGCCTTCCTGTTAAGAACCAAAATGAGTTTTCAGCTGCTCCTTTGCCCTCGGAGGACTCGTGTGACCTTGCTCTGCCCCACCTAGCGGCTCTCCTCTTAGGTGCTCCATGGAATCAGTCTGTGTGAGGGCTCCCATCGCCTCCAAACAGCCGCACACGACTCTCACACTCCATGTGAAATTCACTTCCATCAAACCGCGTATTTTGGGACATCCTCACATCTTTTCCTTTGCCGGTGGGAAAAGAGAAGCAGGGTGACGTGCACAGGACTGACAGCAGCCCCAGGCTCCATGGGCATCAGCAAGCACAGCACAGTGCGTGCTTCCAAGCTTCCCCTCTTACTGTGGGCTCCTCTTTCTTAGAGAGCTTTTGTGCAGCCCCGTTTGTCCCTCCTGGCTCACCACCTCCTCTAGTTAGTATTTTATTTATTGCATCCCAGTGCTCACAAGTGAGCTCCTTCCCCAGTGGCTGCTAATTAGAGTGGGTGTCTTTCCACAGCTCGTGGATGCAGACAGAACACAGGCACTGCAATTCACAGCAAGCACTCAGCATCCATACAGACTGCCCAAAGACACCACCTGAATGGATGCATTTTACCCCACGAGTCCAGGTATCAGCATGCAGAACTAATATCACGTTTAACCTAGCACTCAGTCTCTACACAGAATTAACAGCAGCCATCTCTCACCCCTGCAGAAGGGGAGGACAGGCTGCCCAGCCCCACGTAGCATCACACAAGAGGCAACTCAAAGCAGGCCCTGCTAAGGACACATGAATTTCCTCCCCCCACTCCAACACAGGCTGCAAAGGCTCAGCTGCCCAGGAAAGGCTCCAAGCAGTTGCAGCAGCACTCCCAGTCCTGGGGACACAGCCTGCAGAGAACCCAGCACCAAACACCAGCAAAATGAGCACCAAGCTCTGCCTGAATAAGCAGGGCAACCAACTGGGACACAAAAAAGGCATTTCACTGCTTAGATTCAACATCGAGACCGGACCCAACGCACATTCTGCTGGCGGATTTGCATGCACAAGTGGCACCATGCACCAATTCAGCACACATATATACACACACTCACTGCATTCACACACACAGACACCACAGGTGCTGGCTGCTGGGTCCCTCTGCATCACCCATGGCTGCTCCATGCTCCAGCACAGAGCGCTCTCTGCAGCACTGACAAACACAGCTGGTACTCCCAGTACAGACACGGCTCTGCTCCAACCCCCCAAGAGTTTGCCACCGATAATTAGAGATATTGCAAAACACAGCTAATTACAACCGTCATTAATTTGCTTTCAACCATTCTTTCTGACCGACTGCTGTGAGACCCCCAGCCCCCGGAAACAGCCCACGGGTAGAGAGGGCTGCAGTCCTTTCCTGAGCATCTGCTGCCATCAGGTGGAGAACATCAGCCTGGCACCCACGGCTGGGAAACAGGAGCCAGGATTCAGGGCGAGCCAGCCTCTTTCTCTCTGTTTTATCCACAGGGAGAGCAGAATGTGGCTGAAATGTGTAGCAGAACCAAACAGAACCTGCATGGATTGGGGAAACCACGGACCCAAGCACATCAAGGGGCTCCCAGGGAGGCCTGGAGCCATGGACTGGTCCTCTCTCCAGTGGGCTCTGTGCAAGGAGGTCACCCAAAACCAAACCCAAGAGCCTGAGCTGTGCCCACCCCACGCAGCCTCACATCATTTTCCCCTTCTTCTATTTCTCATTCCAGCAGAGGCACCAGCTTACAAAACAAACGTGGTCCTATTACCCCAGAACAACACGTTTGCAATAAGCATATAAAAGACCATTTCTTAAAGGGGACGAATTGATTGGGAGTGTTAACTTGTAGCCACTTCTGACAGGCAGCCCAAGGCAGGGAACCAACATTTACATTTAGATGAAGGTGCTCCCAACAGCTCCTGCCCCCAGGTTTGTCTCCAGAAGGAATGAGTGAAACCAGGAGCTCTGCTGTAAGCAGCTCAGAAGGACAACAAGGGAAAACAGCCCTGCGCGCACCACTGCCAGCACAGCGAGCTCTGAAGTCACAGCATCAGCAGCAAAGCAATACCCAGCAGTGACACAAGAGCACCAGCACCAGCTGCCCGATGCCCCATTGGGTACAGCAGGGTTTGATGCACAGACTCGGTTATGCTGCAGAGCACCAACATCCCCCACCAACAGCAGTGACCAACAGCAGGCAGCGGTGCGGGCATTGAGAGGCTCCTTCACACCAGGACTATGCAATGCTTGAACGAATAAAAGCAGCAGATGCAAGAATAACCAATGCAATTATGCCTCACTGCTTAATCTGTCAGAAAGGAATACGTATCCTGCCATCAGCTTCAGTCCAGTTTCCAGTTGGAAACCGAACCACCAGAACAGGGAAGAAAAGGAATTATTTTCACCTGGGTAATCAATACCACCTGCAATAAAATTCAGAGCAGGCCAGGCCTCAATGCAGCAGCTTGGTGGATGGAGGAGGGTAGAAAAAGGCAAATAGCATGAAGCTGTGGCTGCACGTTCTGATGGATGCATTCAGCAGCACTACCAGGCCACAAACATTCGACTCCCTGACTTGTAATTGCCTGTGCTTTGCCAGTGAGTTTCATCCAATCGATCTGCAATGGCAGACTTGCATCTCACACCCTGGATTCATGGTCTGCTCCAGCAAAACCTCATGCAATGTGAAACGCAGCGCTGCTATCACACAAAGCTCTTTTCCAAAGCCAATGCCCCCGTCCCACTGCAACTCCTCCCCATGCACACGTTTCCCATGCACCATGCAGCCCTGCAGCTCCGTGCTGTGAGCCAAGCAAGGCTGTACAGAGCCCTTATGCTGACATTGCACAGAACAGCACCCAGGAGCAGAAAACACCCAGCAAAGCCATCCACAGCAACGAGACCCATTGGTAAGTCTTATGCTAAGCCAGCTGTGCATCCTTGCTGTGCTTTGGCGCAAGGAAAAGCCACTTTGTTAACGACAGAGCTGGGCGTGCTCGCAGCAAAGCAGGGCGTGCTTTCAGCCTCCCTCCCCCATTGCACACCTGTTGGCACTGCACGAACGGGGCTGTCCGCGGGGGTCCATCGCAGCACCGCAGGGTCGTCGGCTGCCTGAAGGACACTGAGGGACGCTGCCCGGTGCCGCATTGCCGTCCACAAGCATGCAACACGCCGAGCTTTCCTCCCAGCCCGGCGGTCCGCATGGCAGCTGGGCACGGCTCCGGCCCGCCCGCGCACTCTAGAACGTTCCAGGCCCTCCGCAGCGCGGCCGCCAAGTGGCGCTCGCGCGTGGCGTACGCGCGCTGATTCCCGCCCGTGCCGCCAGGTGGCGCTCGTGAGCACCACGCCTGGTAACTCCCGCCCTTGCCGCCAGGTGGCGCTGGTGAGGGGCTCGCGCCGCTGCTTCCCGGCTGCTCCCCAATGCGACGCCCCAGCGTTCACTTCACCGGCACAAAGTACCGCCTCTAAGAAAACACGAGGCACGAAAATCCTTCGTTCCTTGTGTATATATAGCGTACCATTAACCCGAAGTGAAGGCTACCCGTCCCCGTGAGCCATCAGGACTGGCTTTCCCTTCTGCATCCTCCAACACCTTTGTTTCATATGCAAGCCTTCCCCGCTCTGCAAATGCGAGCAGAGCTGAAGGACCATCCTGTTCTGCTGCTCTTCACCACCTGATGCAGTCAGAGCTTCTTTACCCCCTGTGCTCACAATGCATTACCACTGCAGACACAAACTCCCTGAGGTCTCACCAGCCCAACATCCCTCTACATCCATTCCTCCCCATCTCGTGGCTGCAGAGCACACAGCAGCCCTGGGCAGGCACTGAGTTCCTGAGCTGGACGTGGTGCTGCTGTCTGTGCTGTGTGTTAGAAACAAAATCATCTCCAAGGAGGAAAAAGTCAAGCAAAGAAAGAGGTGAGATGAGCCTTGGAACAGCAAGAAGGGCCGTCCCACATTTCTCTGGTTGGAAACAGGCTTCTCCTACCCACAGCAATCAACAGACACATCTGCTTGCAGGCAGAACCTGGCTGCTGTAGTGTAGCTTGGTTTTATTTATGTCCACAAATATTTCAAAAAAATTACAAAATACTCAAATGGAGAGAACACAGAAGTCACGATTTCTGGGTTTCTACTCTGTTTACACTGTGTTATCCCATGGCAAACTACTCATATATACATTAAGCTTCAAGATATATATAAATGTAGCAGTCAGAATGTACACTCTGCTGTAACGGTGCAGTGAAACAAGCTCAACCATGACGACACAGAACAAGAGAGACTTCTCAAAAAACACGAAAGCAAAACTGAAAACTGAAAAACTTTCAAAACTGAGGAAAAACAAAAGAGAGATTTCTGAAAGAAAACCAGGTCTGGGTTGTTTGAACAGGGCATCCAACACCAGGATGGCTTCAAATGCCACTGCAGACTAAAGCTGTAGTTAATCACAGGTCTAAAATGGAAGTTTCAGTGCTTTTTTGCTGAATGACGTGAACAAAAAAAAAAAACACAAAATATTGGAGTTTGTCTAAAAAAAGCTAAAAGCAAAAGGTAAAAATGCTGCTCAGAAAGGAGTAATTCACTTTCGGATGCCAGCACAGCAGTGCCCAAAGGAAGCCCACCATGCTGGGTGCCACACTGACCTCACTGGCTGCTCCTGCTAACGCCTTCAGAGCTCGTGCACAGGGCATGGAACTGATTAAATGCTACTGCAGTTCCTTAGCGTTGCCAAATCTGCAACAGAGGACACAAGAGGTCAGCAAGTGAAGTCGCCCTCCTCCCCCTCCCTTATATTCTGTACGTGGGCCTACAACACCCTGATGTTGAATTTGTCACTGGGTGCTACGCAACACCTTTGGGCACTGATGCTGACGCTGCTTCGAGCCCCACGTGGTGTAAAGCACTGTGCATGCCTTCCATCACAACGTGTCATTAACCACAACTCCAGCACACGTGGCTCAGTACAGTCCTATGACACAACCATCACATTTATAACAGTCTACAACAGCAGAGAGAGAGTGCTTGTGAGCTGAGAGAGGAAATGGGGAAGCAGACGGCCAGCAGATTCAGATGTCCATTGGCTGCACCACCCTCTGCCCTGGCAAAAAAAAAATAAAGAGAACAACCGAAAAACCAAACCAACCAAACATGGAACAGTAGGAACACATAAAACCTCTCTGCCTAGGCAGTCAGTCTCTAAAATGATGCTCCCTGGCCTCCTGCGTGCCCCTCTCCTCTTACCACCACGTGGGAACCAGCCAACAGGAGCTCTGCACGGACCTGTTGCGTTGGAGGCAGTAAATATTACTGTCCATGTATTATGTGAAGCCCAAAGCAGTGAGTTCCTGAGATACAGAACGGTTGTGGCAGTTACAAAGTTTTTGCTTATAAAAACGGAATTCAAACAGTCCGAACGAAATGCAGACTGCTCCTTGCAGAACAGCTTTAAGAACACTGAGTTGTCCAGTCCTCCTTCCTTAAAAATGCATCAAACACAAGAGGCCAGGGAGAGCAGACCTCCAAAACTATGCACGGTATGAAGTTCTGGCTGTGCTACTTTGAGCCATGGAGCATTTTAAAACAGACATTTTAGGGTTATGTCTTTGAACTCTTAGTTATCCTATGAGGGATAGCCTAAAACCAGTGTGGTTAGATTGAAGTCCCAAAGGGTAAAAGAGGTGTAGGATGGCCGTGCTGAAGACCAACCCCTGAAGAAGGGTCAGTGAGCTCCAAGGGACACCTGCACTGCTGAGAAACCCAACTCAACAGAAACCAGCTGCATAACAGAGATGTAACACTAACAGAAGAAACAAAAAAACCAAGAACAGTCATTTGCAACATTATCCCTGCATCTCCCTTTAATGCTTATTGTTGATAACAAGCCAAATTTCAAGCTTTTACCCATTTGAAATTATTGATACCCATTGTTCCCTTTAATTAAAGGGATAACTATATATATTTTTTTTTTATTAAAAAATCAACTCTGTATTCTGTCAATACCAGGTAGGAATTCACAACCTGTGATGTTACTGAAAAATCAACATAAACGTTTCTGGAGTTTCGTTTCGTTTCGTTTCTCCCCTCTACCCAAAAAAGTTATTTACAGACTTAAAAAGCCATGCTGCAGAACTGAGCTCTCTTGAAAATTATGAAGATTTCCTACAATGTATTAAAATAAAAGTAGATTTTTTTTTTATTATTATAGCACTTGGATTCAGAGCTTGTTATGTCACCTACTTGCAATCCTTGTTTTTTTTTCTGAAGTAGCTAGAGATGCACTGAGTGTCTCTTCACGCACAGTGACTTGTTGTGAGCCCAATCCTAGCACCTACTCAAAACAAACTAGTAATTAAAAAAAAACCAAGGTTGCAGGAAGTTCTCTGAATATTCCACACAGTCCTGTATTTTCAATAGGCTTCTGAATACGTTGTCATGCAGGGAGACCCACACCAGTCTTGAGAAATCTTCTCTACAAATGAACGCTATGCTGATAAGTCTCTACTTGTTGGGTGGTTGTTTCTGTTTTAAATATATAAAGAAATCTTTATAAGATATTCTTTTCCTTTTGTAGCTCTTATTGTATGTAAAAATGTTCCACTCCTTCCCAAGGACTGGGGTTTCCATAGCCAGCATTACAAATAAATAATTTATTACAACTGTTTGTCGCCTTCTTTCTTCAGCCGACTGAAAGAGAAAGAAAACTCATTTTAACAAACCAAGGAGGTGTCATGACACTTCAGTGACAGCATGCCTTCCTGCCAACCTCACCTGGGAGCCCTGAAGGGAACAGAGGCTGCAGGATGGGCTTCTGAGCTCTCAGCACTAAATGAGGACCGCTGTAAGAGCAGCGATAACAGCAGCTGCTGGGGGAGGAAGCGATGACCTTTCGCTCCTTACAAGTGTGTGAGATCACTCGTGCCAGCTCATCAAGCTCCAGCTTGATCTGCAGTTGCAAGTGAAATGTCACTCAGCTCCAGGCAGAGCGGCTGCCCTCGTGGCATAAGGCCAGCGGGTGATTTTGGATAGCAGCAGCAAGTACAGAAGCATCAGAGTGAAGCGGTGCGAGGCAGGTCTTTAATATGCTGCTTCCTACGCAGCCCTGCTACCTGCCGACACGTGGAATGACCTTTGCTTGGTGCTGAAGGCTTCCTCTTCTTAGCTGACATCTCACTCAGTTGCCATTGCCCAAGAGGAAATAAGGTGCTGTGAGACAAGGCAGGCTGAGAAGAGAACCACTCCACTACCTGCACTTGTACAGCACTGTGGGGAGTAGTGGGCACTCTCCAATGTTAATTCAGGGTTCACATTCCTCACACACCCAATCTCCTTTTCCCTTCAGTCATTTCTTAAGACTCACTGATTTACGGAGCTCCTTGTCGCTGCTTGTTCATAAAGCTCTCACCCACCTTCCTCCTCCACTGCTCTCAAGGAAGACAAAGCAATACAGAAGCAGCAATCATAACAAGAATCACACTAAAAAGCCCAGGTGGAGGTGACTCAATTCACTCAAGCCTTGTGCCAGCAACGCGGGCCCAGCTTTCAACCTGCCCTATCATCAATGCCCTAACTAGGTCTAAGGGCCCTAATTAGGTTTAAGGCCAGCTTCACCAACCTCTCTAAGTGCATCAGGCCAATATCTCAGCACGCAAGAAGGCGGCATTCGTTCACAAGAAAAAACAGATGGAACACACAGACAAAGATGAAGGAAACCTTAAGTTTCCACAAGCCCCCGTGGCACCTCTCACCTGTAATAATCTTCCTGACTTGGTAGATGACCACCATGCATGTGAGGATGCCCGTGCAACCACTGCTGCTCCATTGCCAGTCTCTGCAGCTCTGCTGACTGTGCATGCATGGCCTGCAGCTGGTGGGCTGCGGACATCGGAGGTGGAATGGCACCAGGCAGATCCCGAGGGTAAGGGGTACCTACAACACAGAGTTGTGCATTTGTACTCTTTTGCTATGAGGTCTGCAGAGCTGCCTCACAAAGCCCTTTTTTCTTTTTTTTTTTTTTTCTTTTTTTCTTTTTTAACCTCCCCTAAAACGGAGACAGCAAACAAAACAAGGCAAATAAAAACCCACTTCAGTTGTAAGTGAAGTTACAGCTCAACCCCGCTGCCACACCTCCCAGGAAACGCTCGGAGCCAGAAGAAAAGCTGACAGCTCAGATCAAAGGGCAGCCTCCAACAAGGACCATAAAATGCTCTCACCAAAGACTGGATGTCGGAGCATTTCATGCTCATGAGGTGGCTGTCCTAGCAATGGGTTGGGGATGGTCCCAGGTGGGTAGGGGAAACGTGCCAAATGGGGTCCAGCTGCTAACGGATCCACCAGCGGGTGAACAGGTCCTGCTGAACCTTTAGAAGAAGGAAAGAAAGAAAGCAATCAACTGCTTGGGGAAGCATCACTCACTGCTGGGAGATCAAAAGCCCTGTTACCACTTGAGCTGGATCGGCATTTGGCCTAATTGGCGTGTAATTACCAGGAGCTCAGCTCCATCCAATTTGAAACCCACTTTTCTATCCTGAAGTGTTTGAAGTGACATCTGCTTGCCAAACAGTCTTAATTGTTAAAGCAACAACTCGAGGCTTTCAATTTCTGCAAGAACAAGAAATCCACCAAGTGACAAAAAATAAAGTAACAAAACCATCCAAGCTTTCCTTCCATCATCCCCACATGCACTGCAGCACAGCTTGCTTGCTGACCAGCCCCGCTCAGACCAGGGCAGGTGAACTGAGAAAGTGAAACCTGTTCAATCCTGAAAACTTAAAAAAAATACGTCTGCTCTTACCTTTATTTGGTATTGCAATTTCTCTCCCCTGTATGTATACATAGATACATACTTAAATTGCTTATATAATTAGCTTTCCCCCTGTTCAGAGTGCACTGGTATTTAGCAAACAGCTTAAGCTGCTTGTCTCCGAACACAATAAACCCTGTTCTTCAGTCCCTACTTCTCAGCCACTTGTTCCACTTTCCACTGCACTGCTCCAGAACAAATAACAGGACAGTACCCAGACTTACCTGCACAGAGCTTGAACGACTTACCTGACAACAGCACCCCTGCACAGACAGCATCTATGACAAATTTCTTCTGCTACCAAGGGGCTACCAAAAACCTGCCTGACACTGAGCCAGCCCATAATTTGTGCATTCTCAAGCAATGTTCACAGCTTTAGAAATGCTGACCCTCAGTGCTATCATCTCCTACCTGAAACACTCTCACTGCTTAATCTCACAAGAGACTGCTGATTTCTTGCTACACAAATTGGCTTCTGCAACAGCATTCAAATTCTTCCCCTACTCAAAAAGAAGGGAAGGAAGCCGTGTTTAATGCATATGCTCCAAGGCAAAGTATGCTATATTTGCTTGCACAAACAGTACATTTGTTCCCAGAAGCACCAGGAGCTGCACTGTCAGTACTTGGACTTCTCTCATTTTCCTTTCTTGGCTGCTCCTGCACCTGGTGCCCTGCTTGCAATGTTCTCTCTGGTCTACGACCAGAAAAATTCTGCTTAGCACCAGACTCTCGACACCTCAGAGGAGCAACTGTGTAGCTTACTTTAGAAATGAACAAGGCACCAATTCATTTTGACACTACTGAATACCTTGGGAAAAACTTTTCCATATGTAAAAATACACTGTAACTAGAAAGATGCCAACCCATCAATTCAGATATTTCTTAGGAGAGCTGTGACAGGGAACTTCAGCTCAACTAAAGCCATGTGGTTGGCATGACAAATGGCTGAAGAGATCAAGTTGTCCTTGCTGCTTTCTTAAAAGCCCTTAAAAACATCTCACAGTGACAGTGCAGAGTCTAAATGGTATCACTGGAACAGGCTGCCCAAGGAGGCTGCGGATCCCTGCAGGCATTCAAGGCCAGGCTGGATGTGGCTCTGGGCAGCCTGGGCTGCTGGCTGGTGACCCTGCACACAGCAGGGGGTTGGAACTGGATGAGCACAGTGGTCCTTTTCAGCCCACTCTTTAATTCTATGATCCCTGTACTGTTACTTAGCATTTACTTCATTTCTGCCCTGCACCCTTTCATTAAAAATCACAATCTTACACTGCCCAAAAGCCACAGTTACATACAGGCAAACAAAGGACTCCCAACTCCAGGCTTTCGGGCAGAGGTTCCAAGCAAACTGCTCGGCCAGCTCCCGGGCTCACCTTGATGGAGGGGATCCTGCTGATGTAGGTGTAAATGCGAATGTATGTGCGAGTGTTGGTGATGGTGGGGCGTGACGTTGAACATCTGCAGCCGTGCCAACGGGTCGTTTGTCAGCGATGCCATCCGCTCCGCGTGTATTCTCTCAGCTGCCAGTCTGTCAGGGTAGCTCATTTCAGGCCGTAACTGCGGGCCTGCCAGCGCGAGTCTCTCTCTTTCGAGCGGGTTCAAACCCGGGTGGAAGGAAGCAAACGGGTGAGGTCCTGCCGTTGGGGGAATAGTCAGTGCACCGTGCCTGGCAAAATGCTCCATGGGGTTGGTGGCCGGGTGCAGCGCATCGAGCTCCGGGGGCTTCACCTCGAAGCCAGGTTTCATCCTCTCTCTCAGCTCCCTCTCCCGGATTTCTCGCTCCCGGATCTCCCTCTCCCGCAGCTCTCGTTCCCGGATGGTGGGATCCACGTTGTAGAGGCCGGGCATGTGGTAGGCCAGGAGCGGGTCGGTGGGGTTGAGGGGGACGAAGAAGGGATGGTTACGGTTTGTTGGAGACATGACGTGAGGACGGGCGTATTCGCTCAGCGTTCGTAGAGCAGGTGTGTCCGGGCCAATGTAAGGAGGGACGGCGGCGATGGTCGTCGGTGGGGGTTCAAACGAAGGCCTCATGTGTGCTGGCCCACTGAGCTGCGACTCTCCGAGGCGGCCTTCGTGGGAGGAGCTGGATACCTTCTGCTGCACAAACGGGGGAAGAGATGTTTCAGTTCAACTCGTTTGGCTTACCCACGCTGGCATCCATTTCCCTCCTTGTGCTGCATAACGCGCCAACGACCTCCCCGTGCTACGGGCCCAAAGGTCATCGTTCCTTTCCAACAGGCCACCAAAACGAAAAACAAAGAATTAACTGTGCTGATTTTCTATAGTGAGACCGCAGTTTGGGAATTCCCATCACAAAAAATAGAGTTGTGTGTCTTTAATCAAGGTGCCTTCAGATTTAAAGCCTTCATATCCCTTTTTCAGCAACGATTTTGTGCCTGCACTGCAAAAGTGGTGGAAGTTACGCAAATAATTCACTGTATCTACACCTACAGAGTGTTTTTCATATCTGAGCTTCTACTGCAAGTAATGTAAACACCTGGCCCAGTTATCCCCAGCTGCACTGGCTTCCCACACACAATTATAGGCTGGGAATAGAAACCCTCTACTTCCTTTAGAGAAGAAAGTGACAGGCAGGCTGGGAATGCCCAGAGCGGGTTGGCATTCACTTAACACACAGCTCCCATATTCACAGATACCTGGTTGCACGTGTATTTAGGCACACTATCCATGCCAACCCTCCTAAGCAGCTTTTAGCTACAAATAAACCTACCGCAGCTCTTTCTGCTTCTCTCTCACGCTCACGTTCTCTCTCTCTTTCCTTCTCTTTTTCTTTCTCTCTCTCCCTCTCTTCTCTGGCTTTCTGCTCCGCCTCCCTTTTGGCCTTTTCAATGGCCTCTTCTCTCTTCTTGGCCAGTTTGGATCCTGCCAGAGGCATGAAGTACAAATCTGCTCTTGAGCACGAATTGTAGCCACGGTCCAGGTGCTTATAAAACCTGAGGGAAACAAAACAGAAAGAGGTCAGCTCTGGGAAGGTAGAAGTCTGAAGTTTAAGAGCTGTATGTCAAGGAGGAAAAGTTATCAGTGCACACTTACAACAGCACCACCTGCTTCACTGACAGGGAATAAAAGGAATTAACTGTGCCAGGAGACAACACAGACAAGCAAAGTGCAATGCTCCTCTCACAAGTACAACCTCTAATACCCTGCCTGAAAAAGCACCTTTACAGAGAAAAACAGCAAAGCCCTGATTAAAACAAGGGCTGACAAGATGGACGTGTGAAACACATTCACATCTCACTGAAGCTGATTTCTCACACGCATTCAGAAGCCTTCTTCCACAGCACAAGGAGGCAAAGTTTCAGCTGACTTCAATAAAAACTGACCCGCCAACATAAGGACAATTATGAGAGTAAGGAGAACTCCACCATGCAACACTCTCACTTCAGCTCAGCAAGCCTTCCTGCAAGAACCAGGCATGGGAGGCAGGAAGATTCACTTATCTCCCTCAGCTATCCTTGGGAAGGGTGAAAGGGAAACAGAGTCACTGCTTAATGCAGGGTCTGTACATCAGCAGAGGAAAGTCCTTAACAAAATCTTTTCTTGACAAAAAGGAAAGCAATTCCACTGCAACAAGCAAGTGAGATGCAAGCTTTTGGGTTCTGCTAAAGAAGTGCAGCTGCTGCCAACCTCCATACCTGGCGGACTGGCTGGCATGACTCGGTGTATCCACCACCGTTGGCTCTGGCGATGGACTCCGTGGTGGAGGCGGAGGGCTTTCTGGTTCCTCAGCCTCATCGGGAACCTCCTCTTTGATCTGGACAGGTGGCAGCGTGCAGGACGTCACCACCGGCACGCTCCCACTAGAAGCTGCTGACGTGGAGATGGAGGTCTGAAGCGGGATGCCGGGCACGGCAGGCGGCGTGGAAGTGGAAGGGCACGAAGGAGAGGTGATGGACGGTGGGGCTCCAGGGACAAAGGGATGCTGAGAAAAGGGGGGCTGAGAGGATACCTGGTGGAGTCCGGATGGGGGATGAGCGGCGGATGGAGGAAGGCTCTGACTCTGGGTCAGGACGGGAGGCTGGGCTTGCGAGGACTGCAGCGGCTGGCTCTGGGGCATCAGCTGCAGGGGAGGAGGGTGCGCGGATGGAGGGTGGTGAGTGGAGAGGGAGCTCAGGGGTTTTAGAGCTGGTGGCGGAGGCAGGTTGGAGTTCATCGAGAACGGAGAAGGGCCGGAGAGATGAGGAGGGTGCTTGTGGGATGGAGGGGTGGGAAGCTGCGGGATGGGGGTGGTGGGGGGAGGCTTGATGTGAGGCATGGCCATGGGGGCGGGGGGCAGCGGCTGCTCCCGCGGAGGCTGGGCCTGCTGCAGCGGGGCTGCGGCTGGCAGGGAGGGCTGAGACACCTGCAGTGCAGAGTGGGAGTGAGACGGTGCTTGTGTCTGAAGGGGAACCTGAGACTGAGGAGACTGTGTGGGGAGCGAGAACGGCTGGGGGGGTACGGGATGAGGCAGCAGGGGCTGCGCCTGCAGGCTGTGCGGGGCGGGCTGGGGCTGAGCGTGCAGCGGAGGCTGCGAGTGGGGCTGCGATGAGGCTGGGGCCGGCTGGCTCTGCGATGCGTTCAGAGGCTGCAGGGGCGGGTGAGGCGATGGCAGTCTCTGCGGGTGCAATGCAGGGGCTTGCTGGATGTGGGAATGAGGAGGAGGCGGCGCGGCGGCCTGGGGCTGGCTGGGGGCCTGGGATGCTGGTGGTGAAACCTGCGGAGGAGCTGCGGAAGCACTCGAGGCTGCAGGCAGCGGTGCTGGCAGCTGAGCTGGGATGGGGGGCATGGCAGGAGGAGCCTGGCCGGAGCTGCTGGGTGCCTGCAGCACTTGGGGCTGCGCCTGCAGCACTTGCTGCTGAGCGGATGAATCTGAGTCGCTCTCATTGTCTTGAGGGCTGGGGATGCTGGGTGACGTGCTCCGGTTATCCTGGTCGATGTCCTTGGGGTCGCTGCTCCCTTCGTCGTTGACGCTGCGGCTGTCAGAGCTCTCACCTTCACCCTCACCCTCCGAGGGAGAGTTTGGCCTGCTGATCTCCTGCAGGAGAAGGGGAGAGCAATCAGTGTGTGTGAGGAACTGCATGCAGCGTGCCATAGAGAATCACCATGCACGTGTGCTGGAGTGCCAGTAACAACCTCTGAATCTCATGGGACAAAGCAGCACAGGTGGTGCCACTGCAGCACACCCAGTTCCAGGCCCCCAGAACCAGAGATGGACACATGGGGAGAACCCAATGAAGGGCCCTGAGGCTGAGTGCAGGGCTGGAGCAGATGCAAGGAGAGCTGGGGCTGCCCAGCCTGGAGAAGAGAAGGCTCAGCCCAGATACCATTAGATTACGACAACTGCAGTGTTGTTCTAACTTGTCAAAGAAAAGGGAAAGCCAAATTTCAATTAAAAAAAAAAACAAACTGAGGTGTGTGTGTGGGGAAATAAACTCAGTATGTTCCTCCTATATTGCTTAAGTATAAAACAAACAAACAGACTCCTGAACTTACCCTACGTTGTTCCACTGCTCTCCAACAGATGGAACATATTATAATATGGGTTGCTTTCTAGCCACAGATTAAGTTAAAATTTGCTGTGGCCTAAATTGGTTTTGTGTTTTGGGTTTGTTAGTGGATTTGCGCTCCCTCCCACACTCAAACTGTTTCCAAAAATGAAAATATTTCTCTGTGGGACTCACTTGAGTTTTGGATTTTTTGGCACTGGACCTTTCGGGCTCCTCTGTGTCCGACGCTGCCTTCTCCCGCTGCCTCTTGGAGTTCTTCAGAGGAGAAGAAACCTCTTCTTTTATTTTCTGCCACAAATGAAGCAGAAGAGGACAGTTACCAGTGATGTAAACACAGAAGTAAACGAAATGCAAGTCAGTGCTATCATGTTGAACACAAATGAATGAGGAGGGTTCCTATGGAGCAGGAGAACTTATCAGAAGTTGAGATCTCCAGAATTTAACACCAAGCCAAGTCAGCATTTGCTCAACTTCTTATTTTTTCCTCTCTTACAGAAAGGGCATGGATGGAGCACTCCTGCTAAGAGCCTGAAATAATATATACTTCTTTTTAATTTGCTGCTTTTCAATTTACACTGCTTAATGCACACTTCCTTGTTCATCTGCCTTTGTTTTGTCAGTGCTCTCTTGGAAAAGCACTCAGTGAAACAGACTGAAGCGTCAGCTAGCTCTGAAAATCAAGCAAACTGCTTGCAAAACAGTAATGGAAGTAGTCTCAATTATTACACATTCATATTCCTTTATAAATAAAGATTAAGTACTGCTTAAGAAACCAAAACTGTCTACTTGTCTTGGATGTAGCATTTCTGATAGGTATTACTTCCGTGAGCCTAACGCTTGCATTTGCATCCGAAAATGAAGGATTAGTTTATCACAAGAGCAGTAAGGTTATGTGGGGATACTTTAATGGCTCTTATCACATCTGTATGCACGGGAATAAAGCATCACTGAGATGCATCATTAAATGTTTTGCACAGCTACACACGTAGGGATTTCTGTGTCACTGACAGATCCCCCGGCCCCCTCGAATCTGCACCTTATCAAGCTGATGGAAGAGGCCTCAGGGGCCCAGTTCTGACACAAAAAGAAAGATGGGGAGATTTTACCTTGGTGGACTTCTTCACTGAATCTGCTTTGCTGTCATTGCTGGAGGTGCTGGCAGCACTGGGAGAGTTGCGGCCGCTGGAACGGATGTCTTCGTTAATGGGTGAGGCTCTACCATCAGGGCTGGCTGGCTGCTTTTTACGACCACTACGTAGTGTAGACATCTAGTTGTGTAACAGACATACAAGTTTATCGAGTCAGCATTTGTTCAGCTGATTTTTTCCTGCCTTACAAAAAGGGCACGGACAGAGCGTTCCTGCTAAGAGCTTCAAAGAAGAAATAAACCAGAATACTTGATTGTTTTTTTTATTTATAATTCTTCCTTGAAAGTTCATCTCAGCTTAAAAGCGAGGCAAATTACTTTCTGTGCCTACACCAAGACACTGAGTGTGGTGTACCTTAAGTACTGTCTGCTAGAAATGAGAACATGATGCTCCCTCAGCTGCTATTGTCCACGTGCTGCATTTTCTCCATAAAACATGCATACATGTTTTTAAGTGTGCATACACACACACAGGGGGTGAGGGGGTGGAGACCCACAGTTCCATTAAGAAAAATTATATATGTGTATGCATATATATATGTCTGTGGGCATGCAAAACAATCGAGTCCAACTGCTGAAACCACCCACAGTTTCACAGTGCTGCTGCTACGCCATAAGGAACCACAGCAGAGTAGGTTCCAGTAATTACTGCTGCTTCCCTCCCAGTGCAGTACTCTCTTGGATGAGAAGCAAACAGGTGGGACAGAGGAATTCAGTCTCATTTTAGACCACTTAAACAACAGAACAAGCAGAAATGTCAAGGAACCAACAGTGCGAAGCCTACCGAGCCACGACTCCTCCTTGTCCTCATGCTATGCTTTCCACTAAGTCCATCATCTTCCTCTTTGACAGGCTTAAACATAAAGGGTGGAGGGTCTACGGGCTTCTCAATGGGTGGCAGCTCTCCGTACTTCTTGAAGTGAATACGACAATCTGTGCACAGTAAGATGTTTTCTCGACCGCCGTGGTGCCAGTCCTTGGAGGCTTGGGGCAGAAAAAGCAACAGCTTAGAAATATGCAATCTGCTAGATGGTCAGCATAAGTGTATTGCATTATTACAAAAACAAAGCAAAAAAAAAACCAACCCCAACCCACCAGGAAATCCACACCACTACGGAAGTATCTGCTTTTCTACTTGCAGCTAACTGTGCAATCTCCACAAACTTTGCCCTGTTCCAAGCTTCATCTGCCTTCCGGTGCACAGCTTCTTCAATGTTCAATTTAAAAAACACTTGTTTACTTAAGCAACTTGAGCTCTGAAAATAACAAAGGAAGAAGTCTCATCTGCTCTACCTGGGAAGTGACAGGCAGCTATTATTCTCCAAAGCTGGGGCTTCTTAAAAGAGAAGTGAACCGTGCACTTCTCACTTCCTTCCCTTACCAGGGGCTCCCACCACGCCACGCATGCACCCAAATGCAAGGCAGCCTCCATGTTGGTGCCCTATGAAGAAGTTTTGCATGGGACAGTCGCTGCTCAGTGTTGACTTGCTGGGCACAAACACATTATATCAAGAACTTTGTTTAGATTTGCAGATTGTACTGCATAGATGGTTACCTCCCAGGACTCTCCACTGTCTCAGCAATAGTAATTTGCAGCCATAAGGCATTACCAACTCTGCTCTGAGTGCTGCATGTTTCAGCTGATTCAACCCCACGTTTTCTGAACAGCTGTACACACAAGCACATGCTCGGATGAACCTGTGTAGAAAAGGCAGCAGAGAGGCAGGGAAGCACAGCAAGAATCAGGCACGTACTGGTTGTGAAGCAGTGACGGCAGGCGTAGCCCTTCAGCTCCTGTTCACTGTCCTCACTGTCGAAGTCATCTTCACTGGCCGAGCTCAAGTCCACTGAATATTTAAAGAAAAAGACGAGAAGAGGGAAAGAAAAAACAAAAATTCAGCAGGATTTTCTGTTTCTGCCTACCTGGCTGCAATAACCATCAGCAATGATGGCTCTTGTTTAAATTCTGTGACTTCCTACAACCACTCTGCCTTGGCTGTCCATCATATCAGTTCTGCAAACTAAACAAGACATGACGTGCTGAATCTACAGATGAAAAAAAAAAGCATTCCAGGAATGTACAAAGTGATCCAATTATCCAATTCACAGAGCCTTTGGTTTGGTAGATGATATCTTTCCAATTAAGCTGTTGCTCACCACTGTGCTAGCAAGAGAGGCAGTGTTCCTACAGAACGATTTAGGAGAGAAAGCAGCTTTGTGTCCAGAACCTGGTCAAATTTAAAGCAGGATCCTATTAGCTTTCCAGTCCTTAATGCGAGGCTCCTTGAAATGCAACCTGTAGCAACATTACATCTTAAGAATGTCCCATTTCAAAGAAGCAGAGAACATGGCCCCAGACACCTTCCTTTGCTGCAAGCAGCATGTAACACATTATCTAACTATGATGCTGAGAGCTAAAAAGCACCGCTTAAACCACAGAAAATCTGCACACACCACAAACTTTACCCTTCCTTGTCTTCTAAAACAACTCTCGACCAAATCCTTCCTTGTTGAGAGCACTGCACTTTTCTAACCACTCACTATGAATTAACAATGTAATGGATTGTAAATTGTCACCAGCAGAAAACTCTGTTAAGGGTATCAGTCTGACGTGTGGCATCTTTTCTTCACGTCTTTAATTAGAAAAGAAGCCTCTGATGCAAGAACACTGAATTTCTAAAGGTTCTGGGAGGCTATTTTGTCATACATGCAGGTTACAGAGTGTTACAGCTCTTGCCACTGGCTGCTGGCACCACCACCACTTATTTCTGCCTTAATTCTCACCAGTGTTTAAACCTCAGCTGCACAGCTAACATCAGGCTACAACTCTGTTTCTTTGAGTAAGCTGATTTTTACTCTCATCCTGCAGTCAGATCCATACCAACCCTTTCAGCCACACGAACTCGGATGAGCTGTCCTGGACTGAGCTGTACAGCCAAGACCTGCACTTCTTGTGCACGCAGGAACGGCCATAAATCCCATCAATCTCAGCACAGAGCAGCTAGCAGCCCTTGCTGTCTCACTCCTTCTCTCCCCACAATTCTCCCTCCTTCCCTACTTAACATACTCTCTACTACCCCCACATTAATAACACTGTGTAAAATCCTGCCTTCCACACAGTGCCTTTAAAAGGCACACAAAACGTGCTCTGTTCAGTCCACGGATGCCATCAGCCTCTGACAGAAACATTCATAAATGCACAACCACATAACTAACCATAACCTCTTACAACACAGCACATCTCGCTGCTTTGGGCAATTATTCCTTCTTTCGACCCTTCTGCTTCAATCAAGGCCAAAGCACTTCTATGATAAATGAAGACACAGGAGCACTGCCTGCAGCACCACGCTGTGATAAAGCAGATGGAATGGTCACTGTGTAAGGATGAAAGGACTTCTTTTGCATTTTCTCATTCCCATTACTGTAATAAGCCTGGAGAAAGTGCCACACGAAACCAAGACAATTCAGCACCAGGGCAGTGTTTCCATCCTAACACGATGCTTTTAACAACTACACACAGCACTGCTGATCAAAGATGCCTACCACATTCCAGCATAATGGTACAAGAACAGCAGAGGGCAGCTGCCTGAACTCCATTTCCTTGCCATATTCACTCAGAGGTACAGCACCACTATGTTACCGTCTCTCCATGCACCTAAACAAAGGCAAATGCATTGCTTTCAGCTTCCACTTACAGAATTCACTGGAGGGGGGCCTGGAGGGAGTGTTGACCGGAGTGGAAGCAGTTCGAGTTTTAATTCTCCGAAACACAGCCTGCCTTCGATGCCTACGGTGGGCTCGAGAACTTGCTGCTTCAGGGGTTTTCTTCCAATAGTAATAGAAGGTGATTAGTTCTCCCTGCAAATACAGAAGGAATATGTTAGAGGGGCAAGCAATTCTGACTTGTCAGCTTTTCTCCTCCCCCCTGCTCTATCTACGTGCACACGTGTTTTTACAGGAAACTTCACGATGCGTTTCAGCCAGAGAAAAGAATCCTTTAGATAGAACAGAAAAACCTTCAGTGACTGTTGTTCGCTGCTGGGGGGGGAGAAGGGAGGCACAGAAGCAGCCAAGGGCCTTCTGCTGCCCTCCACCTCCCCTGGAACAGAGGGCTGAGGTCTCCAGCCTGGCACTGCAGAGCCCCCAGGAGCCCCTGCCCTGCAGCTGCACAGCGTGGGGCTTTAATCTCCCTTCTCTTACTTTGAAAGCCCATCATTTCCTGGCAACTTGTCTGCCTCCAAGGGAGAAGGTGCTGCTCCTTTCAAGTTGCAAGAGGAAACGGAGGAACTCTGAGCAACCCCTTGGAAACTGGCATCAACACCAACACACCTGGGCTGCCCACAGAGAGGGCTGAACTGCACTGTGTGCAACCAGACCCCATAACCCCAGCCTGCTCTCAGTGGGGCACATCACTCAATCTGAGGCTAATAAAGACACACCCTTAATCCAACCTCTCCCAAGGGCCTCAAACAAGCAATTACAGCTGCAACTAACATCTGCACCGCCGAAACACTTGTAAGACAAAAGGAGGATGTTGTTCTACACATTAACTGCTGACATCTGAGACACTTGAAGGGTTTTATCCGCGCCTCATTCGAAAATAGAAACGCCAAGAAAAGAGCACAACCACGATTCTGGCTACTGACAGAGGCAGCTGAGATGTGTTTCTGGAGGCACACAGAGCCCTGCTGCTCTGCCATTCCACCTTCTGAGCAGCACGCTCCACGTCTGCCCAATGCTGCTTGCTGGGCACCAAGGGCACCAGTGGCACCAGGAGGCACACAGGGCTCTGCAGAGAAGCGTGGGCAATGCTGTTCAGCACACAAAGCCTCTTACAAACGATGCCTATAAATTCATTGAGAGCAAACCTCAGGTGCCAGCACCAAGGAACAAGTCGGTAAATCGTCCGTCTGGATGTCGGTGAATTGACGTGTCCTCTGACATATGGCAATGGCAGGGTGGAATCCAATCTGTTTTCCTCCCATCATAAAAGAGGAAACCTATTTGAGCTCTATTTACACACGGTGAACCCATCAGGTCCCAGGGGAAGTTTAACAACTCACGCTTGCACTGCATCATAAAAAAAGCTCGTTTAAGGAATGAAGAAATGGTACTTATGAAAAATACCATTTCTGTGATCACAGCACTTCTCTTTTCCCTGAGAACCTCTCAGAACTGCACTGCATAAAGCTGAAAGCAAAGTTTATTCAACAATGAACTGTGCCACCACTGCAATCCCTTTATCAGCGAGTGACTCAACTTCCCCACAGACAGCAGCAGCAGGCACAGGGGAAGCACAAACAGAAGATGCCTGTGCTGCACGCACACCGCACCACAAAAATTCCACGCCAGATCTTATTAGCTGCCTGGCCATCCAATGCTGTATTGTCTACCTGGGGGATTAAAGCAGCCTGGAAGGATTAGAAGCAGCGCGCTGGGGCTGCACGGGTGGCAGCAGCTCAGCACAAAGGGAACAGTCGGGAAAGCCTCGGTTCTATCGACGGGAGGAAAACAGCTCCCAGCTTGGCTGCAAGAGAAGTCAAATGAACTTTAATCAAACATGCAGAGCGAGCGCTGCCGAACCCCGGCGCACATCAATTCAGGGAACAAAAGCTGTTGCAGAAATCAATAGCCTACTGAAACATTAACACAGGCGGGCATTGATCAAAAGGCCCGCTTACAAAAGGCAGCCTTGCAAATTAGCCCATGTTTTTGCTTGCAAGCAAACAGAGAAGCACAAACATGAATGGACTGCAACAATCATTTTGTTGTGGTGCTCTCAGCTCACCTCACCATGAGGCCCTGCAGCCGCCCATCGCCCTGCAGCTCAGCTTGCACCCATCCCACGAGCTGCCAGCAGCTCACCCTCTTCCTATCTCCTGCCAAGGCCACGCCAATGCCTTCCTGCTTCAGGGACACACAGAAAAAGCCACACTTCATATCCTTCTCCCTGAGTTCCAGGCTTTGAGTTTAAAGGGAAAGAAATGCTGCAGACCCACTGGCCAGGAGCTTCCCAACAGCCTCCATCCTCCCCAGCACCACGCTGCCATCTCTCAGCAATAAACCCCTCAGCCTTTCTCTTACAACTCCCACCAGCCTCAGCTCCTGCAGCTCAGCCCACTTGTCCCAGCCACATTGCACAACCCCAGGGCAGCCCTTATTGCTTCCTCCCCGCCTTGAACAAACTGCCAGCAGTGCAGCATGCCCTGCTCTCTCATTTATCACTGCTTTGCAAACGCACAGCACACAGTACAAGCTGTGCCCCGTGTTTGTGTTTAGTCTTGCCTTGGGTACACAAAGGCTCAGCCCTGCTGCAGCACCGCTCCCTGTCGCACAAATGCACCAACTTACCTTCAAGTATCTGTTGTGCTTTAACAGAGTGAGCAAACATCCTAATTGCTCTTTAATTTCCCCAGAGCCTAGCTCTGTCAGGAGAAAAAATATCAGGGGGGCAGCGAGGCTGTAATTAAACAGCAAAGGTAAACAGCAACTCCCCCAAACAGCCCTACCACCAGCCGCAGCGGAGCAGAGGGGAACAGACTGTCCAGCTGTGGTCTGAATGAATTCACATCGGGGTGTCACTGTGCCACTTCAGCTAATGCTGCACCTCTCCTGGACTGAACAGCCCCAGCATCACCACCAGCATCACCACCAGCATCACACCAGCATCACCACCAGCCCCAGTGCTGCCCACCCAGGCACATGGGCTGCACAACCATAGTGCTCAGCCTGGTCTGAGTGGCTCTGTCAGCTGTGACAAATAGGTTTGCATATGTTCTAATTAAGCAGTGAGTCTCTGCAGCCTGTTCAGGAGCACTGATTAATGCTTGCATCGGAATACTGCATAACCTAAAACATTACTAGAATGTTAAGCGAGGCTTTTAAAACCAAGCAATACCTTACTAATGCTACAAAAACCAAATTAAAAATCACACAGTGCTTTCTAAGGAATACCATGCAGGCCTCAGCGTACTTTGAGGGGCTCAGTATTTATCCAGCAGTTCCTCCAACCACCCATTATCTCCTGAACTGCTGCTCTCCTGCTCCCAACTCTCCCTGCCCTCATCGTGTCTCCCTGTCCTGCAAACAGCAAGGTAAGCTCCCTGGTTTCATTTTGTACCTCCTGGCAAAACCATCTGGCTGAGTGGGAAGCAAAAGAGGTCGGTATGTGAGACACCCAGGCTAAGCCTCTAGGATTTCATGCCAAATTGTCAATGCACCCCTAATACAGGAGCACTCTCAGAGCTCCCTGGGAACCCAGCTGAGGCTCCATCTGTAGTTTTTGGGTTTCATTTTGGTATGGAAAAACCTGCCATCCATCCAATACAGCTTTGTGCTTTCTCAGTGCTTTTGCCAGCTGAGCAATTCTGCCCTGCTCAGCCCTCGCAGACACAGCAAGAGCTTCCACCTCCCCCAAATTACACCTTTACAGAAGCAAAGTGCAACCACTGTGACCCCCCTCAAGCCACAGAACAGCCCACTGGTGACAGCCAGGCTCTAAAATTCCTCCAGACATCACCACTAGGTTTACTGAGCTGGGCTCATCCCCGCCAAGGGCTGTGTTCCCCAGCAGCTCCTCTTCTGCCCTCAATAGGAGCTGCTTTTCTCTTGGTCAGTACCCTTGTTTCATTCCTATCACTTGGCTGTAGGGTTTTAGCAAACCACAGAGGAATCCAAATGTTATTGTGCACAGCCCCAAAGAATGTCTGTGTCAGGGCTCAGTGCCACACTTAACTGATGACTTCCACGCAGCCTATTTGCTAACTTTCTCCACTGTTTGCAATTAAGGTTGCAATATCCCAGCAGGAAATAAGATAACGAGCAAGTCTCAGAAGGGACTCTTTGCTAACTTTTCTGGGTGAGCAGCTCTCGTTCCTTGTTTCTAGGGCTGGAAGCACCAGTTGGAGCAGCTCTGCACAACCAGCACAGAGCAAGGCACTGCTTTGTTCTGAGCCTCCGCCGCAGCTGGAAGCTGTTGACCCTCTCTCTCCAGCTGTATGTCATGCCAGAAGGAAAAGCAAGCTTTGTAATTACGGCTTCTTCCTCCAGAGACTCCTCTTTGTTAATCAGAGGCCCCGAGATCCCCAGGGGACTCGCAGGCTGCTGGCTGCATCCATGACTAATTATGAGATCCTCTCTAGATAGCGTCACAGCAGTTCCCCAGCACTGCCACCAGGTACGCCAGGCAGGGCTCTCTCTGGAGCTAGATCAATTAAGAGGTTATCAAAACAGCCCACGAGTTAAGCACCTGCTCGCCTTACCCGCATCTGTTAAGGACTTGTTTTCTACTCACTGCCCCTTCGCAGCTTCTCTTACCCGAATTTCTGGGAACTCTCACTCGCCCCATCCCAGCAATGCACGATCCAAGGCGGAGGTGTCGGCTGCGGCTCACGTGGGTGCACACATGAGAGAGCAGGCGTGCATCGGCAAGCCATAAAGCTGTTAAAGCGACCGCACTCCATCCCGTAAACAGCCTTCTATTTATCTGTCCTTCATTACATGCACAATCTTATTATCTCTGCACGTCCTCAAAGCGACAGCCGTCAGGGTCACCCCATAAAATATACATCGGCAGCGTTACATTTAATGACTGGAGCGGGAAGAGAAACGAAGGGTGGGAGGGGTGGAGGACTGCGGCTGCTTTAAAGAGATCATCAGTTAGATCTGTGCATTTCCTGAGGTGATAATTGAACGACAGTGGCTGGAGGGGAATCCATTTTTGAGCTTAAGAAAAGACTGTTAAGAAAAAAATGTTTTTGTACTGCGGCACATAATGGCTGCCGGAAAATCAGAACGGTTCCCTCGACCACAGCAGCTCCTCTGCTTTATGGCTTTTATGGGGCTGAACGTCGCTGAGC